CGGGCCATGAACAAGAAAGCGACAAATCAGAGAATGGAATGATAGAAGATGTCGTCTTGCTATATTGATGGCTCGGTAAGGAGAGGTTGATTGATCATTCCCCCCAAGTTCTCGCGTATTCTGACGCTGCGGGCACATCGGAGACACAACTCACCGCTGGTTGTCTCGTCAATCCGTCTGTTGTGCTTTTTCCATTGTGTGATATGATACAACCAACACCCTTACAACTCCGACTCTGCGGTAAGAGATGTTTCACTTCTGTTACTGTTTCACTGAATAGCCTTGTTCTTTTGGTCGCCATTTCTAGTCCTGTGTCTTTAAGCAACTTTTCCTCGAATGTACAAAGTCACATCGATCCCAGCCTGTTGCTCGCGTGCCCATCACCGGTTGTCATCCTTACAAGAGAGATAGCCTGAACTGCTTAGTGACACGTGAGATACTTGACCGTCCCTCGTCTTCACACGTCCTTCAGAGGTCCCACACCGGGAGATAGGGCTATTGCGCCATTGCTGCGTTTCCAATGATTAAACAGTAATGGAGTCAGGCGTATTGGTCTGATTACGTACAACTATTACAGTTTATCTTCACTCTTGTCCTTTTAACACCTACGCACGATTCTTACTGTTGTCCTGTTGAGTAACTAGAGAAACAACAACATCCTCCTCCTCCAAGGCCTCTCGCTCAGAGTGATACAGTACTTGTACTATTCAGATGCGATGTTTGGTTAATCCTGAATGGGCAGATGCATCAAGTTCTGAACGTTCTCCTCAGTCGTTTAATACCGTTTCCTCTTTGTAAGTGTGATGTTCGGATGACGCTTAGACTGTTGGTTATTCTCTTGGTGTTCATCCCCCTTTCAGTTCCGGAGCGCCTTGATCCGGAGTTTCCATTAACGCCCAGTTCGCCTTTTCTTCCGTGCCCTACGTCTATCTCATCCCGGTTTTCCAGCGAGGCCCAGATCGTGGCCGGGACGGAAGTCTCTTCATCGACTCGGAGGAGATCATCCAAAATAAACCCAGCGATTACCACTCGCCCAACCTAGAGTGGTCCGGACCACATCACAGGACCTACATACCTAAACGCCACCCTTGTATTCAACCTATGGTGTCACAGAGGGAGGAATACACTAGTCCCTGGGCTCCAGGTGTGATTTGCGAGGCACAGGAGGAAGATTTAAAAAGCAAACCGGAACTGCGCTTAAGTCACCTGACCGGGCAGCGGTCGATTTTAACACCCCGTATCTCTCACCCAGTTTACTCCCTTTAAAGCCTCCACACGCGTGTCTCGTCTTTTAAGACATGTGGCCCCCCCCCCCGCCCGGCCTGTCCTTACCTCCACTCTTCCCCTTTTTCTCCCCCTCTGTCCGCCTTTTACTGCTGCGCTTTATCTACCTGCCATGGCTTTGATCATCTCACAGACCAAGGAATAGAGGACAAAGGGGGAAGATAAAGAGAGGACTGTCCTTCAAAATAAACTCTCCTGTTTTAATGTGCGAGGGTAGGTTGCCATAGCAACAGTTAGGCTTTTCCCAAGAGGGCGCAGCTTTTGTTTTTTCATTTCTTTTGCACATGATTGCTTATCGCTTGGTTTGCTGTTAATAATGGCTTATGAAAAAGGATGAAAAACAAATAAAAGCAGTTGCCTTCCTATAGGCTGACCCTGGCAGGCATGCGCTTGCTAACGAGGCAGGGTAGTTCTCTCCCGGCCCGGCTCACAGAGTGCATTAATTGCAATCTGTAACCGATTTGGTTCGCCATGTCGTTTTTTTTAATTAACTGCTTGAACAGCTTGAGATCAACAGTAAGCCCACCAGCATAATCTGAAGTCATTTACAATCAGCGTGCCTCCAACTTGAAACTTTTAATTAGGTAGCATAGTTACTCTCACTCAGCTCGCTCCGTGCATAGGGACGGTCTCTAAATGTAAAGCCATAGAAAGTATGATTCATTAAATTAAGCATGATGAAGTGCATGTTAATTTCATATCATGTCTTATTGTTGATTAGTGTCCTATCAACCTCCCCTCCAAGATGTAATGGCAATACACATCACTTATGATAAACAGGTTGTAGTAGAGGAGGAACATCTGAACTCAGCCTGTTGGTTGTTCTGCTCATGGACTTCAGACACATCAATATGCAAATAGCGAGATTGCAAAAGCTAACCTGAAGCCAAGGCACAAATCTAGCCAGTAATAACGTTTGATACAACAAATTGGAATATTTGAGATGACTAAACTGGATCCAACTGCACCGCCATGTGAGTTAATCCCTTATTAATCAGACCTCGAAGGAGGAAATCCAGCATTACTCTTCCCCAGGAAAAACTTGCATTAGGGAATCAGATTGAATTAACTCTCACATTTATAGTCTCATATTATTAATTTTTCATGGTGTTGTTTTCCGATGTATCATGAACAACATTTTCCAAATAAATGTTCTTCAGCTACAATTTTATTGAATTAGTTCAATTGAAAGAATTAGAAGGTGAAACCACTTTTGGGTTTTCCACTCCAAATGCTACAAGCTTGCCTGACTGGATGGATTTCAGTCACTGCAATGGGAGTCAATCAGAAGTTAAGTTTAGTTTTTTGATGCATTAGCTCAAATTAGAAGGGAAATGCAATTTTACACATTACAGTGGTTTTACAATGTAGGGGTGTATTACCGCATTTGTTAAAAAAGTTATATCAAATCTTTAGTGGCTCCAGAGGAAGCTTTGTGAAGTCTGAATTGCCTCAAGTGATGTCAATTGAGTCAGCATTGTTTGGGGCTGAACACTACAAGTTTAAAATTAAAAAAATCTGGGGGTGTGGAGTTTTGATATTAGATTACCTGAACTCTGTAGCCCACTCCTCATCTATGCTTGAAGCTAGCTGCTCCAAGCTACATTAGCCGCTACTAACACACCCAAGTCTGCCGTGGCACAAGGCTATGTCTTTTGGAAAAAGACGAAAATCTTCTTTTGGTTTATATTGTTATACAAGTGTGATGCTAAATTGGTTGGGGAGTATTATAATAAACACATACATGAACAATCCAAGTGA